GGGGGGGGGGGGCTAAACAACGAGAGTGAGTCGGTTAAGACGAGCGAGTGAGGCCTATTCGGTGAGGCCCAACACCCCGCAGGCCGCACCAATCTGATTGGAATGATGAGAGCATACCGGGAAGGAGAGCAAAGGAGTGAGGGAGAAAAGAGGGGCAGGAGACACGAGGGCGACGTTATACAGTAGCAGTAGTACAGAACAAAAATCCTTATATCTAAACATGGTGAGATCTTCCTTCTTCATCTCGGAGTCTTGTTGGCGCGTTGCATCTGCCTGGAAAATAAAGAGAGAGAGGGAGATATAGATAGATACTTGTCGTGCTGCCTACGAGTGCTTTCCTCTAGCCTTCGTCACCCGCGCGCCCGCAGCCGCAGGCAAGCGAAAGACAAGGGAGTGAGTTGGGCTGCCTACCTGGCAGGCTGAGTGGCTTGGTCAGGCTATGTAGCTGTGGGACTCCACAGGGGCTGCAGACGACCCCACCAGTCCACCTAAAAAGGAATATGAGCGCGTTAAAGTGGAGCAGTACTACAGCAAAATGTACCCCCCACCCCCTCCCCACCAATTAACCTCTCCTTCTTCCTACCAGTTTACAGTGTCTCTTCTTCTTCCCTTAAAATTTAGTAAACATACTGCTGCAAGAAATGTCACGATGTCACCTATTATATCTAAAGACATTGAACACATCTCTTCCCAGCCACATGTGACAAAATGAAACTCACATAACTTTTAAAAAATGCAGACCATCTTAGAAAAAATATTTGCTGCATCCCCTCCCCCGTTTCTTCTCTTCATTTTAGCCATGCCATTGGCCTGGGAGAGCATATGCCATGTGGCTGAAAACTGAACAATGTATCTGAAACTAATTTGTAGTCCCCAATGAACAGTGGTCCGGCACAGACTACTCGGTGAAAACTTGTTTCAGTGCAGCAAATCTGTCGGGACATGTGAGCTACCTCATATTCAAAAGGACACTTTGGTTACAAATACGTTCAAGTTATCAAACACACAACATAATACTCTCTCCACCAAAATCAATATTTTACAAAGCTAAACACCAAGTGCATACTGCTTACCCTCCTGCTGGACAGGTAAGACAAATGTGCATATTCTACTAATAATAATATATGGATAAAAATAAATGATCCCATTCTTTTCCATAATGATTTCTTGATGTAAACATAGTTTCATTTTCTTCCTACTAAGAAAAGCAGTCTTTTCCTTTGGTATTAAAGTATCTCTTCCTTATTTTACTACAAAAAGCACTGAGGGATTACTGCCTTGTTATCCTCATGGTATAAAGATCATCACTCCCTTCCCGTCTAAAAGGCACTTGAAACAGAGAACAAGAATCTCTCAATAGTTTTTTTTACGAACATAAGCATGTCTAACATGGGGTGAAAGCAGCAGGGAAGTGCTGGCACAATCACAGATATGAAAAACTGTTTTAGTAAGAAAGACAATATTTGACTCCAAAGTTTCTCATACTCCAACCCTTTAGGTACAACTCTTTTATCTTCTAAAAGTAAGTTTTCAAAGTTCTTAAAATATCTGCACTTAGCTTTTGATCCTAGTCTCCACAGTGGCAATGCCCCGTCAGCAGCAGCAGCAGCAACAGCAGGTGGGAATCGTTGCCACAGCAGCCAGAGGCGTTCTGAAATGCAGAAGAACAGAAACAATTCAAAAACTGAGTTCAAATCACTTTAATTGCCTGTGTGTAGAAATTATTCAAAAATTTTATGGTTCAGAAATACATAGCAGATCCTTGTACGGAATAAGAAGAACAACGCTTTAAGTAGTTGTCTATTTGTTCATTATAATACTTGCAAGCCACACATATTATAAACAAAACATACCCTCAGATTAAGAATGTGCTGAAAAGTTACCTCTGAGGGTACTTTATGATTTACAAATCAATAATCTTGATTGATTAAAAGCAGTGCACATATTTTCTGATTTTGAAAAAAAATTTAAAAACACTCTCTATGGTATTTTAATTGTTAAGACTAAGAGGAAAATAATAATACACCCATGACTGCAACTTCTTTGAGAACCTTCAAATCAGTTTCCAATGGACATAAATTATTACACTGAAGCAATAGCTACAAAAAAAAAACCATCAACAGTAACTAATTGACCAGTCCTGATGAACAGATTATGATCACAATCACTAACAAGTAAATTTCACTGAAAGAACACACGCTCACTTGAGAAATAAAAGAACGAATAGAAAAATATTTCTCCCCAAACTACAACACACATTCTGTTGAAAACATTTCCAGTACCATCCTCTGTCAGTATGAAATGACCACCCATAAGATTTTTAACCTATTCCCAAATGTATTATGATTAGAATGTGTTACAAAATGGTGACACTTACCTGTATGTGTTGGGCATTTTAAGGGCATAGTCAACAGCAACTTCCTATCATTTCTTTCCTCTTGCTTTGACAAAAAATCAATGTGCATTAGAGTCCAGTCAGATATACACCTCTGACAGCTGACACCACCATAAACATCCTTCAATATGGCACTGTGAACCACTGAAAAGCAACAAAACAAAACATGCATTCATATTCTCTCAAATGGACAGAAAGAACTAGAGTATAGTGAGTGGAGGTCTTACCTTGAGGTTTCACCAAAGGGACGGACTGAGAATAGCTTGGTTTGAAGTCTGTTGGATATCAAATTTAAAAGTCCACACAGACCTGACATCCCAGCCTTGCAACTGCGAAGTGGCCTCTATTGTGTTCCACGAATTCTTCCTTTTAAAGAAACTGAAACAATAAGAAAAATGAAATGGTTAACTGTTAGAAAAAATAACAGCATTCTTAGTCTTTAACATTGTAGACATTGGTCATTGACAACTGCAGACAGGGAAAAAATTGCCACAGACAACAATGTTTTAAAACACATCATATCAGCTCCCAAATGCAACATTTATCAAACAAAAGGTACAGGCCCCTCTTCTGCACCAACAAACTATTCGCATATCAGAAACAACCAACTGAAACTTTCAAAAGCAAAGAAAATAATGACAATACCATAATTGTGTTAAAAACTAAACCCACTGACTGACTGTTCTCATTCTCCCAACTAATAAATAATTGAGACGTCAACATTTCAAACCACTCGATACTATTACTTAAGAAAATATGCACTAATTTGAGTAGCTATTCTTAATGGTGCACAGCATAAAGAAGACTAAAGTTGTACCCTGTTTCCTTTCTATACAAATGTTTGTGTATGGTTGACTGATGAAAAATTATCAACCTTATTGCATACATTTACTGTAGAACAATCAAAACTCTGCATGCAAATGTTATACAACTCCCCTTCACAATGCTTTGATGGTAACTTTACAATTTAAACTTAGGAAAGAAAGAAGTGCATATGCTCTCCCAAGCCACTGGCATAACTAAAATACAGAGAAGAAAGGGGGGAGGGGATATTAACTTACCTCTGCGATTATCTTTTCCCCTGAAGAAACATCTCAACGTTAAGTCTCACATCAAGTGGCGGTAATTAAAAACCACAAACAGACAGCGAGTCACAGTTGTG